GGGGGCCTGAGTTAATTAAGAGGGGTCCCTGATAATTGGGGGGGGGGGTCTCCGTTAATTGGGGAGCGGTTTCCATTAATTAAGAGAGGTCTCCATTAATTTGAGAGGAGTCCCGTTAATTAAGAGAAGTCTCCGTTAATTAAGGGGGGTCCGCTTTAATTGGGATGGGGTTTCTGTTAATTAAGGGGGGGTCTGCGTTAATTAAGAGGAGTCTGTGTTAATTGGGAGGGTCCGCGTTAATTGGGGAGGGGTTTCTGTTAATTAAGGGGGGGTCCCGTTAATTAAGAGGGGTTCCCGTTAATTGCGGAGGGGTTTTCTGTTAATTAAGGGAGGGTCTCTGTTAATTGGGAGGGTCCGTGTTAATTAGTGTCCCGTTAATTGGGGAGGGGTCTGCATTAATTAAGGGGGGATCCCGTTAATTGCGGGGGTCCTCTGTTAATTGGGGAGGGGTGCCGTTAATTAAGAGGGGTCTCTGTTAATTGGGGAGGAGTTTCCGTTAATTTGGGGTTTCCGCGTTAATTAGGGGGGTCCCGTTAATTGCCGATACCCCGTTAATTAGCGATACTCTATTAATTACCGATATCCCATTAATTACCAATATCGCATTAATTACCGATAACCCATTAGTTGCCGATATCTCACTAATTACCCCCATTAATTACCGACATTCCCATTAATCAGCTGTATCCCCGTTAATTACGCCGTTAATTAACGATAACCTGTTAATTACTGACATCCCGTTAATTACCGATATTCCCATTAATTATTCCATTAATTACCCATATTCCCATTAATTATCCCGTTAGTTATTGATGTCCCATTAATTACCCCGTTAATTACCCATATTCCCATTAATTATCGCGATTCCCATTAGTTACCCCGTTAATTACCGATATTCCCACTAATTACCCATATCCCACTAATTACCGATATCGCATCAACTTTTCCATTAATTATCCCATTAATTACCTATATTCCCATTAATTATCCCATTAATAATCCCATTAATCACCGCATTAATTACCGATCTCCCATTAATTACCGATATCCCATTCGGTATGGCATTAATTACCCTATTAATTACTAATATTCCCGTTAATTACCAACATCCCATTACTGCCCCGTACCCCCATTAATCCCCCCATTAATTATCGCTAATTACCATTAGTTGGGAGGGGTTTCTGTTCCATTAATTATCCCTTTAATTACCCCACTAATTACCGATGTTCCATTAATTACCGGCATCCCATTACTTATCCCATTAGTTATCGATATCCCATTCATTATGGCATTAATTACCCCATTAATTAGCGCTAATTACGGCTAATAACCGACACCCCATTAGCGCCCCGAACCCCGTTAATCCCGCCGTTAATTAGCGCTAATTACCGACACCCCATTACAGCCCCGTACCCCGTTAATTCTGCCGTTAATTAGCGCTAATTACGGCTCATTAATTAGCAGGGGGGGTCCGGGGGGGGTCGCCTTCCCCTCCCCCCTCTGGGGGCGACCCTGGCGCGGCTCCGGGGGGCGCTGGAGGCGCTGGGGGCGGGGCCGGAACCGGAACCAGAACCGGAACCGGGACCGAGAACCGAACCGGGACCGGAACCGGGACCGAGAACCGAACCGGGACCGGAACCGGGCCGGGAGCAGAACCGGGACCGGGACCAGGAACTGGAGCGGGACCAGGTTCGGGAACGGGATCGGAACCGGGACCGGGATCGGGATCAGAACCGGAATCGGAACCAGAACCGGGATCGGGATTGGGATTGGGAACGGGACCGGAACCGGGACCGGGATCGGGATTGGGATCGGAACCGGGATTGGGGACGGGATCGGAACCGGGACCGGGATTGGGATCGGGATCGGAACCAAGATCAGAACCAGAACCGGGATTGGGACCGGAACCGGGAACGGGATCGGGACCGGATCCGGAACCGGGACCGGAACCAGAACCGGGATCGGGATTGGGATCGGGAACAGGATTGGGATGAGGATCGGGATCAGAACCAGGACCGGAACTGAGATTGGGATCGGGTTTGGGCCTGGAACCGGGATCAGAACCGGGATTGGGATCGGGATCAGAACCGGGATCAGAACCGGGACCGGGATCAGAACCGGGACCGGGATCGGGATTGGAACCAGAACCGGGGCCGGGAATGGGAACGAGATCGGGATCGGAACCGGGAATGGGATTGGGATCGGGAACAGGACCGGGATCGGGATTGGGATCAGAACCGGGACCAGGATTGGGATCGGAACCGGGATCGGGATCAGAACCGGGATCGGAACCGGGATCGGGATTGGGATCAGAACCGGGACCAGAACCGGGACAGGGATCGGGATTGGGACCGGGATCGGGATCAGAACCGGGATCGGGATCAGAACCGGGATCAGAACCGGGATCGGGATCAGAACCGGGATCAGAACCGGGATCGGGATCAGAACCGGGATC